AGTTGGTTGGCTTGGAGAAGCTTGGCAACACCTCGCCCTCCGACTACAGCCGTTCGTGCGTCAGAGCGGCGAGGGAGGAGAAGGAAAGGCTCCAGAAGGTCCTGCAGGACAGTAAGCCGCCCGCAGCGCAGATGCAGGCGCTGTCACGCCGAATCATCCAGGCGCAGCAGGTGCAGGAGCAGGAAGGTAGATGGAAGAGTACTGCGCAGAAGCTCGATCAGATGCGGCAGCAGGTGGAGAAGGACAAGGCCGCGATGGACGAGGCGGCCCAGCATGTCATCGCGTTGCAAGCCGAGTTGTTCGAGCTGCAGGAACGCAATCGACCCGCACAAGGAGACGGAGCTGAAGGCGGCACGCAGACGGCCGATATTCCAGAGCTGGCAGTTGATGCGGGAACCCTTGGCACTCTGCTGGCTGAACTTGGTGCCGGCACAGAGTGGGGTGGCAAGTTGGCGCAGTCGGCCAAGACAAGGGCCGAAGAACTCTTCACCTTCAAGCAGGAGGCAGTCATGGAGGCGATCTGGAGGTTGCTGGTGAAAAGGAGCAAGACCCAAACACGGGACGTGGACGGCGTGGATCTGGAGCAGCTTCGAAAGGAGATCGCAGAGGTCTGCAAGCCCGCCGATATCCTAGATGATGATGAAGTCAAGTGGAGGGAGTTGGGACAAAGCTTCGTGCGAATGGGTTCCGTCCTCGCTCTGCTGTTGGTCCCTACTAACGCGATGGCGGTTGCTCAAGAGGACCAACGACGATGCCCACACGATACCATTTGCAGGATTGAGCAATGGAAGTTGTGGAACATATCTGGCAGCATTCTTCGGCTGTGCCTGTGTTATCAGTAAAGCCTGAATGGGATGGGGATCTCCAACAAGACATTGGCTCAGAATACGGCACTCCTCGCATGGCCTGGGATGCGCATTCCCCAGGGGCAAGGACAAGTGCAGCGAATGGAGGCACTTCTGGCGCTGAGTACAGCACTTCTCGCAGGGCCTGGGAGGTGCAGTCCCCAGGGGCGAGGACACGCGCAGCGACCGGTGGAAGGTCTGCGTCAAGGGGGTTGTCGACTTCGGGCGCCACGTCTGGAGCTACGAGGCCACCAGACCCAGAGACGGCTGGCGAGGCCCAGCTGGGACAACAGGCTCCAGGAGCAATGGGAAGGATGCCACCAGACTAGTATGAGGACCTCACGAACTGGGCGGCGATATGGATTCACGACATCGAGGGTGGCTTAGAAGGCAATCATCCTTCACGTGACTGGATTATTTGGTGCGAGCCGTATCTTCAGGAGCTACTGGAGTTACCTCGCAACAGGCGTCTCCGACGTGAACTGCTGGACCTGTTTGGTAGACGTCCTGGCAGGGAATGGGAAATTGGGGAAGCGATCAGATATCTATGCAAGCACGTCGTGCATCATAAGGCGCAGCCGATGCGTAGGGCTTTCTCTCGATATATTGGAAGCCTCATAGACAGTGCTCGCAGAGCGATGTTGGATTACCATTGGGGTGCGCTGGCGGAGCTGAAGCAAATGTTGCGCGAGCTACTCCAAGATCGTTCTCCATATTTTGATAATCCGAGACCTCGAGGAGAATACTGCGATGACGAGGACAACGATGGCAATCACAGACAGCAGAGACACTGAGACTGCGACAAGGTACAGGTGATACCAGTGAAAAGGATGGATCATCACTGCCAATATCACAGCACATTCGAGAATGCAGGAGTCGTTAGAGGCAAGGTCGTTGGACCCTCTCCCCGATCTTCAGAAGCAGGCGAATGATTATGGTTATCACGGACTTTGGTGCCCGACGAAGGGAGGCAGTGGAGGTTTGGCGATCTCGTGCAAGACCAGCATCGCCATCACGAAGCCGCCCCCGCATAAAAGTTGGATCTTGGAAGCTGGGCGAATCATGGCTGCCCACATATTTTGGGGTCCAAAGGGTGGCGTCGTGTACATCACAGTGTATCTGGTGAGCGCGGTTGGCATGAATGACGAGAACGTGAGATCGCCGGAGATCATGGAAGAGTATCTTACCAAGCTCATCATTGGTGGATGCGACTGGGTGGCGGGCGGAGATTCCAATATCACCAGGGCCGCACTCGCCATTGCGGACCCTGCATGGATTCAAAGGGTGAAAGGACTATTCCTCCTGCCGAATGCGACGACCCGCAGACCGCCTGAGAGGTTGCGAGAACGTTAGGGGCTCGGTTGCTACACCTGTTGTGGGTGAGGTTTGCCCTCTTCATCGGCCAGTGGCGCTCCCACCCTTCACCATGGACGAGCCGCGTGGGTTCCCTGTTCGGCCACTCCCTGGTTGCGCGCGTCGGGCGGCGTGCTGGGCAAGGGCTGAACTACGTATTGAGCCTGCTACAGATGAAGGTACGCCAGCACCGGCTTGGGACCAATCGCTGGTTACTACTGAACAGGAGTTGATGGACAGATACGACACACTGGGCGCCAGGCGTCTGGCGCATGCTGGAAGGCTGGGACCAGCCAGGGCCAAGACGATCAAGGTGGGATGGACCCCACCTGCAAAGAGGCGAAGATTGGGGGCGAAGCTACAGGCATAGTTGGCTGCGTCGAGATGGGCTAAGCACTTGATGGCAACGAGGACAACGGTGTGTAAGATATTGCAGCAGCTGGGAGTGGCAAACGCAGTATGCGAGTTGTCGAATGGTCAGCACAGACACTTCGTGGACATTTGGATCGGACTGCCGCGGTTCTATTCGAGAGTTCGTCGCCGCAGAGGCACGCTGAAGTACCTCGACGAGTGGGTAGTCAAGTTCGTTACGATGGGACCTGAGAGACATTGTTGGCCGATACTTCAAGGATGATGCCTACGAGATCGCGGAGAAGGCCGACACACTGCATCAGGGGAAGGTGCAGGAAGGATTAGAAGGATGGAGGCAGCGGGCGCAGGACTCCTTTCAAAAAGGCGCTGGAAAGGCACACTGACACACTAAGGTGCAAGCGATGCAAGAAAGGCTGGAACCACGAAAGCCTGATGAAGAAGCACCGACCCCAAGAAGACTTGCGGAGGAGGCCATGGACCCCTGGGAAAAGATCTCGAACCGACATCAGCTGAAGCCCATGGCAGCGCCTGGAGATGCGCATAGTTGGCCAGAGTTACCGCAGGTAACGATGCGCATGATGATTGGCGCGATCTCGACCTTTCCTGATCATACGGCGGTTGGTCAAACTCGTACTGCGCCGAAGACCCTTTGCAGGTGTCTTTTGTTGGAATGCGCACGATGGCGATACTTTTCATGGAATGCGAACAGTTGCTTCGCGGCCATCAGCAAGAATATGGAACATCATGGTTCCGTTACCAAAACCTGGAGGATAATGCCGTCCGATCGTACTGATGAACACCCCGGTACGAACATGGGGACGTGTGCGATCGGATAGATCCAAGAGTTGGCTGGTGAGCGGTAGATCTTTGGTGGCACGGCAAAGGCAGATCTTCGACAGACTGCGCATTTGATCACAATCTGCAGGCGGGTTTGGCGATGGCATTGGAGGAATCAGGTATCACGGCCATGTTAGACGCGCGCAAATGCAACGAGAGGGTTAAGGGCGAGATGCTCTTCCCAGAGGCCAGGAAGCTTGAGCATGACTTGAGGCTACTCTGAATGTTGCTGCAGGTGCATCTGATGCCACGATGCGTGAAAGCGTTTGGCTCGCCGGGTAGAACGGTCACCACATCGCAAGGTATGTTGGCCGGGTGCACGCATGCCACTACTCTCTCATGCGTTCTCCCCTGGCGCGTGCTGTGAGAACTACGAGGGCCATCTATTACACCGCGAGGGTTGGTGGATGACCTGACGGCGCAGTGGACGGGGTATATCCAGGCAGGCAGCGACAAGATCTGGCACGCGGTGGAGGATGTCACACGGAAGGCGCTCAAGTTGAGCCTGATTGTTGATGCAGACAAGTCAGGCTTTGCGGGGTCATCCCGTCAGGCGGCCAGGAAGCGCAAAGGTCGGGCAGGCAGATTGGGCATCAAGCACGCAGATTGGATTCGCAATCTCGGCCGTGAATTACGCGGGGGCAAGCGCGCGAGGGCGCAGTTTAAGATCGGGGCGCAGGGCACGATGGCCAGGAAAACCAAGCTCATGCGACTGCGCGGGGCGGTTGGCGGCAGAATCACTTCTCTGCGGAACCCGGGTGCGCTGCCAGGAACGGCTCATGGAGCGGGAGTTCCAGGAGTCAGCGATCAGCACTAACATCAGCTACGGCGTTTCGCTGGCAATCTGGCAGGTGCCAGGACGCAGGGAGCTTCGCTGACAGCGTGTCAGGAGCCACTTGATACGCCAGGACATCGTTTCCACGTGCGCCCTAGGGTTATGAATGGAGCGGGCCAGCGCGAGGGCTTGGAGCACCCTGAGAAGTTGCTTGAGGTGCAGAAGTGGCCCGAGGACAAAGGGCGCCAGAATGGACTGGGCAAGCCTGACTACGAGACGCTGGAGCTATCGGTGGGACCACCTACGCCACCTACGCCCCCCCCTGCCAATCAAGCGCAAATCTTCCTCTGGGGCGACTGGGCGTTTGACGCGTCAGGGTGGCCGGACACTATCTTCACTGATGGATCTGGGCACGAGTCCTCCATTCCTGGATCACGCAGATGCGGCTGGTCCACGATACAAATATCTGAACAGGGTTTGCCGCTTAGGGCAGAGCATGGGCCGCTCCCAGAGACGCGACAGACAGTTGGACGAGCTGAAAGGTACGCCGCGCATCCAGGGCTGAAGTTGTTCCCGCGCGTAAGACTTGCGGTGCCCGAACTGCCTGGGTAGCGCGAGAAGCGAACAGCTGGTCGACGCAGTTGGAGGCCTCGGCGGGTAAGCATGCTGATATTTGGAGGAAGATATTCGGCACGGTGAAGGAGAGGCCTCCAGCAGTTGCTTGGACGCCAGCACACAAGGACACCGACGAGCACCTGCAACTGGGTTTGCAACCAATATGGCGACATGGCACTTGGTGGGCATATTACTTCGCCAAGGAAGGAGCGCTCAAACAGAAAGACTCGAGAGTATTGGTGGACATCTACCAGGCGGAGCTGAGGCACCACCAGAAGGTCAACCAGTATTTCTCACGTGGCATGGAATATATGGTCATGGAAGGGGCTTGGAAGGACCCCGATCTACTACCAAAGCTACGGAACTTTGGGGCGCCAGCGCAGCTAGCCATACAGCAGCATCGCTTCGTAGAGCTTAAGGAGGGCCACATGAGATGCATGCGATGTGGGGAGGGCACGAAAGGACAGAAGGTGAAGGCCAACCTGCAGGCGACAACTTGTGTGCATACGGAGGTTGGGCGCTTCAACAAGTGCCAAGTCCAGATTGACTACGTTGGTAAGGCGGAGGTCCCTACTAGGAGGTGCGAGGCAGTGGCCCATGCGATGCTGGGAGCTGATCGTGCGTTGGAGGTTGGACCTACCAGTGTGGAGGACATACTCGAGGAGAAGAGCTCGAACTGTCTTTTCAACGCTAGTCCGTACACGGCGTGCAGAAGGTGTGGTTTCTTCGGTGAAGCCCCATCCGGCTCGTCCGGATTTTGCAACGATGTGCAGGAGGCCAAAGGTTGTGCACGCCTACGGCCTATGGCAAGCAGAATGTGAAGAAGCTGGAGCGTCTCCTCGGTGGTCGGCATCCAGTTTCGGGAGCAGTGCTGAAGCCCGTTGAGGCCAGTTCGGCGAGCTGATCGAGAGGATGTTCTCTTTGATGGCCACACCCCCTTCGTTGCAGCGGATGTGCGTGAGCACTCTTCTGGCGGGCTGATGGTGTCAGCCCGCTTGGCCGCTGAGGGGGTGCTGGGGCCTTTTTCATACTCGTATGAGGCCAAGCACCTGCGCGACCTCCCTTTCCCTTTTTGGCCGCACCCCCTTTGCTACAGCAAATGAGCGAAAGCTCTTTTCTGGTGGCTGACGGTGTCAGTACACTTGGCCGCTGAAGGGGTGTTGGGGCCGAGCAGCTGCACACGCGGTGGTCGTGATCCTGAGCGACCTCGCTGCACTGGTTTCTGAATATTGATGATATCTGGAGATTGTCTGAGCACTCCGGATTCCATAACAAAGTGGGTGGGGGGTCACATTGGGGGGGGGTCTAATTTGAGCTGTCTTGGAGGGTTCGGGGGGGTCTGGGCAAAGGGCCGCCCTTCCACGGATAGTCTGGGGGGTCTAAAACTTCTCGTCTGGGAGGGTTGTGACCCCCTCCCTTTTATTGCGAAGTCTGGAGTATGTTATTTTGCTGTTGGTTGTGAGAAGCATCTGGTCTTCTGCGACGCCCACGAGTGTTGGGTGTTCGGGCCCTGAGGGCCGCGGCCGGCGGCCAGGCGGACAGACGATGAACTCGAGCGGGCCCGTCCTCGGACTCGCTGCGATGCGCTCGCGGAGGAGGAGGAGGAGGAGGAGGAGGAGGAGGAGGAGGAGGAGGAGGAGGGGGAGGAGGAGGAGGAGGAGGAGGAGGGGGAGGGGGAAGAGGAGGAGGAGGAGGAGGAGGAGGAGGAGAGGAGGAGGAGGAGAGGAGGAGGAGGACCTCCTCAACCTCCCTTCCCCCCCGTCTTACATATAATAGCGGTGGTGGAAGATTCGCGCATCAAGGCATGGGGCGGGCGCGGGCGCTGGGTGATCCTTCATGGAGGCCTCTGTGGACCTCCGCCGCCCTATCGTAAGCGTGATTTTGACTGGGTGTCGTCTTCACCCTTTCGTCTCAAATTCGTCCAGAGTTCGTCCAGATGTCGACGCAATCCGACGAAATCTGGAAGAAGTCCCCGAAACCGCAAGGAATGTTGGGACACCCTGAGGCTCCCATGTGCAGGACCACACGGCACACCCCAAGGCGAGGCCAGGACAGGGACAACATCGGGCAGGGACAGATCAGGGGTCTCTGAGCTCCAGCGGGTCTGGAGGATGTATCGAGCGCCGCGGCCTTCTCGGAGCGTCCTGCGACGCTCCGAGAGCTCTCTGGAACGCCCCGGAACGAGTCATCGTCCCTAGCCCCGCCCGTGCATCCACCGGCCGCGCGCTGGCATGCATTACAGGTCCGTGGGCCTGGGGCGTGGGCGCCGAGGCCACGGATCGGGGAGGGTGCCCCCGCACCGCGGTGCCAGTGCCGCCCGATTCGGCGACGGGACGCGCCGATCCTGCACGGAAGCAAGACCCTGCCCCGGTCCACGCAGCTGGATCCATGCGCGGCAGGTTCGTGTCGTGCCGACTTCGGCGTCGGTTCCTGACACTGCGGGGATCTTCCGAACTTGAAAGATCGGCCGTTTCCAGAACGTCGGATCGTTCAACATCTACCGTTCCTGGGTCGCTGGCGGCGCTCGACGTTGAACGCCAGCGGCGAGGTCGCCGCCAGTCGACACGACGCCAACCTACTGTATCCGCTTCCTCGACTCCGCCCTCCAAATGGTGGTGCTGCGTCTCCTCCCCTCGGCACTCTGAGAATCCGACGCAGCGGAAAAAAATCAGCATCGTTACGCGTCATATTTTCGGATACACGCAAGAGTGACCTTTGGTGCGCGGCTTTTGGGTGCCGTGGGGGGGCAAGAACAAGCGCGCAAGACGCCACTGCCGCCTCGCGTTCGGCGATCAGGGGACCCTAGTGGGCCCGCACCAAAGGTCACCCCGGCGAAAGGTCACTCTTACGTCCAGTCAATGCTCCAGGCCGGGCCGATCTGCGAGGGCCCTGGGGCCAGAAACTGGGCCGGCTCGAGAAAGGCTGGCCCGCCTCAGGATCTCCGGGCAGCGCAGGGGCGCGCGGGGAGGAAGGCGCGACCGGGTGGGGGGGGGCCCCCACTGAGGAGGAGGAGGAGGGCCTCCTCCTCCTCCTCCTCCTCCTCCTCCTCCTCCTCCTCCTCCGCCTCCTCCTCCTCCTCCTCCTCCTCCTCCTCCGCCTCCTCCCCCCCGGGGGGGCTCAACCCCCAGCGGATGGCCACCTCGGGGCCCGGGGCGCCCGGCAGCTGGGGCCCCGGGGGCGGTCTGGGAGCAGGGGATGCACCGCAGGGCACGCGGTCTCGGCCCCGGGCGGCGGCGCGCGGTGGCCGGCCCGGGATCGGGGGGCCTGGTGCGGGGCAGGGGGGGCGGAGAGGAGGTCGCGAGGGGGTGCACTGGCACGGGGGAAAGGGAGTGCGAGGCGGGGATGGGTCCACACCGGAGCGAGCTCCTGGGGCCCCAGCGGGCAGTGGACATGGCTGCATGTTGGCCTGGCGAAGCGACGCTCGGGGGCCATAATCAGCGGGCGGCGGGTATCGAATGCATCTGGGACCACCAGGAGCCCAGCGCCTGCCGAGCTCCCCGAAGGTCGAGCCCCAAGACGGCGGTTGCATGTGATCAATCCCCGACTCGGAGAGGGACGGGAGCAGGTCGGAGCGCAGGGCTGGGCTCAGCGGCAAGAAGGAGCAGGGGGGGATAAAGGAGGGGTGGGCCAGGGGAGAGGAGAGGCACGAGGAGTAACCGAGCGCGCTCGGTCTTCGGTACCCCGTGCATGGAGCGGCCAGGGCTCCTCGACCTGCATGAGTGGATCAGCAAGAGGAGCGGGAGGAGAGAGAAGGATGAGGCGGAGATGGAGAGAAGGAGGACGAGAAGGAGAGAGGACAAGGGCTGGACGGCAAAGAAGGCCGATCTCTTATTATTAGTAGTAGTAGTATTAGTATTATTAGTATTATTAATAATAGTATTATTAGTGGTATGATTAGTGGTATTATTAGTATTGATAATATTAGTATTCTGATAACTATTATTGTTGTGCACTCATCCTCTCATTATCATGACTATTTGTCTGATCAACATTGTTGACACCATGCTTCTACTGATTATTCTTCCAGCCCCACTGGCCATGTCCGGCGCTCTTGCTATGGCGGCTTCTTGGCCTGTGGCTTGGCCTCCGATGGCCTCCGATAGCTTCCCGCTCCACTGGACAATGTCCGCCGCTCTTGTTCCCGAGACTGACTGGCCTCCGCCGGCTTAGCTTCCGATGGCCTCCCATGGCTGCCCGCCCCACTGGCCAATGTCCGCCGCAATTGTTCCGGTGGCTGCTTGATCTATCGCTTGGCCTCCTGTGACCTCTACGGCCTCCGCACACACACACAAACAAACAAACAAACAAACAAACAACGGACCACAAACATAGGGCTCCACGCTTCTTGAATTGCTGGCGGAGAAGCCACTCTTCCAAGGACCACGCAGCTGCCGACGCTAACCTTGGACAGGCATCGGGGAACGCTGGCTAAGCCATTCAGGCAAGGAGGGTGTTCTATTAGTGACAATCGGCTTACATCACCCACCCCACAAAGTACAAGGCTGGCACATAGGGCTCCGCACTCATGGCGTCCAAACTAAAGACTTCACCTACATTGCTAATGAGCAGCTGAAGGTTCACGAGCTTGCACCATATACATATGCATCTACCCATGGTTGTGAATCCACTAGCGTATTTGCACGCGTCTTGTAAACACGAACACCTATCGTGCATAAACAGGCATACGAGTGCCGCCAGGGCTTTGTCCAGCGAGACAGAGCAAGGGGAGAGATTACCCGGGGTGAGGCAACAAGTGTGAGTGAGGCAAAACTACTGTGCCACGATTGCAGTCGACAGAATGCACCGTGGGACGGAGGTGAAGGGAGAAAACATGCAAAACTCACAGACTCATCTACTCATGCGCCCTCGACGAAAGCTTTGGCGACCCTGTGACGAACAGGTCGTACCCTGCAAGGTGGCCCACGCCAAGGCAAAAGTCAGCGAGGTCGGCAATAAATGACGGCGACAAGTACACGACCGATGGAGAAGCGAAGAGCTACATATGCCACCCGTGTGCCCTGACATTACGGAGTGCCTTGTCAGCTGCTGTGCCCAATGTCGCACGCGAGGGGGGCGCGCTCACAGAAGGAATCCACGCGAGACGCGCAAAGGTGTCGCTATTTAGGACGGTGGGGAACTAAATGATGGGTCGATGTCAGGCGGCCGCTCGATGGGGATCCGGTATCTTCAATCACATGCTCGTGTAGCGCCGACATTCTAAAGTTCTGCAGGCAGCAGCTTTTAGAAAGAGCGGTGACACCAGCGCTCTTTCAGAGCTGCAGTCAGTTCCTCAAGTTGCGTATCTGATGCAGATGCGGCCAGGGCGGCCACCACGCCGAGCAAGCCGCCCGCCTCAGAGGTCATGTAGATTGGTGGTTCCCCCCTGACCCCATCCTGCGGGGGAATGACGCCACTTCCGTCCGAAGGGATGGAACGTGGCAAGTATGAAGGAAATAAAATGTTAGCCAGCGTGGACCCAAAACAGTGTTTGTGACAGTAGATGTTGTGCAACAGATGTTGTACAATCTATGGGGTGCATTTCACTTTGACCGTCTTGAAGCTGTCC